GCATTTTGTGGGAACACAGCCAGTGTGTTAGAGAAAAGGGATGAAGGGACTGTGTGCTTGTCTCTGTGGCTTATACGCTTCCTGGGTTATTTTAAAACTGGGATGAGTTTCATTGAGATATGTGCGAATAGTGATCCCCAAGGACTGTGATCACCCAACACACTTAATCAGGTCAGGGAAGAGGTGATCACTGCTTACTGGAACTGAGGGAGGGAGGCCAGGATCTCTACACAGTATATGAAACCACAACGTGCTGTGATCACCTGGCTAAATCCAGATGGTGGGCTTCCCTTGTAGTCCACCCATGCTGTAGGACACCAGGGGGCCACCTCCAGCCCAATGGGCTTGTTGGAGACCCTTGGGTGGTCTTGCGGCGAGGCCGCCTGGTAACTGATCTGGCTCGACCCCCTTTCCTCCCCTCCCCAAAGATGGAACGCCTCCAGGCCGAGAACGCGGCAGAATGGGGCAAGCGCGAGCGGCTGGAAACGGAGAAGCTGAATCTGGAACGGGAGAACAAGAAGCTGCGGGCACAGATTGAGGACCTGGAGGACGTCCTGGCCCGGAAACGGAGGCAAACCACTTGTGCTCTCGACACAGATTTTAAGACCATCCAAGCAGAGCTGTTTGAGAAGAACAAGGTAAATTGGAATCTAATTTTGGTGGGGAAGAAAGCCCCTGCTGCTCTTCATTATGTCTGGGGGGGCAGGTGCACAACTTTTCTGGGCCAGATTTGGATTCTGAGTAGTACATTGGTGGGGGCACCCTCCCTCCTCACAGTAGTGGGTGGGCTGGGACAAATGCTAAATTAATTTCCTTTCTAATTACGTATAATTTAAATTAAATACTGTTAATATACTGTAACTCCTGTTCCTTGGGTCCCAGGTATTTCTGTAGGTCTGCTGGACCTTGAAATAATGAATTGTATATGTTCCCAGTGCTATTTGTCAACCACAGTTTTGTGTTGTTGTTATTATTACTATTTGGAAACCTTTCAAGTTCTAAATAATTTTGTAATCCAAGCAAAGAACTTTGATTATTGGGCAGATTTAGGTAAAGAAAGGAAAAATCCCTCAAGTCAAAGTCAACTCCTGATGGCTACACGGACATTTTCTTGGCCATAAAACAGAAGTGGCTTCCACTTTTCTTCTCCCAGTTTTTGATTTGCCAGTCTAGCCAAATCCTGGTGGTCTCCCATCCAAGCATTAATCAGGTTTGACTTTGCTTGTGATCTTTCTTTTTTTTTTAGATCAGCCAAGTTGGCTGAGTGCTGCCCCCTACTGTTTCACTGGCTAGATTAATATTTACGAAATAAACATGTCCTTTCTGAAATGTAAAGTTTCCTTCAAGTGGAGTTCAGTTCCTGACGTCTTCATGACACACCCATGTATTTATCTTGGCAATAAGATGGAAGTGTCAGTGTGTTGTGGTGAAGGTGCTGGACTGGCTCCAGACAGACCCGGGTTCAAATCCGCCCTCAGCCATGGAGGCTCCCTGAGTGACTCTGGGCTACTTATCCTCCCAGCCAAGCCTAGAGGGATGTCTGCAAAGTATGGTCAAAAAAGTCAATATGGCAGCCACGACAGTGCAATCCACCCATTTTTTATACATATCAGCTTACAACCAATTACATTTAGGAGTGCCTGCTGATCTCTTATTTAAAAAAAAAATTAAAAATAATCAAAGTCTCATGGGAGAGCTGAGTCTGTTCTTCACATGGCATTTTATGAAACTAGGGCATGGATGGATGGAGAGCCAGATTACTGTATTAATTTTCTTTTTAATGTTCACATGATCAAGTTAATTGCACGAAAGTGCCTGCTCTTTAAAAAAAAAGTGTCCTGATTTTTTTCTGCACTAAGGAGTTTCCTCTGAGCCTGAATTCATCCTTTTCACCTCTGCTTATTGCTGATATGGTGCTGTCTCTTGGGATGGGTGCAATTTAATTAATAAAAAAGGGAAATGGTGATGTGCAACGGATTGGGTTGGACATGATGACCTCGTCCAGTGCATGCCTCTGTCCCACTGACCCCATTCCCAGCTTCTGTCTTGCAGCCCAGAAAGGACACAATATGTAATTTTGAACTGAAATAAGCAAATAGGTGCTTTCTTTGGAGGGCATAAAAAGCAGTTAAAACTGTATTCTGGTTCTGTGGGATCAAAAACAATAGTTGGCTCACATCTTTTTTTTCCCCAAAACATATGATTTTTTATTTAAGGGTTTGAAAGAATATAAATGAAGACGCTCATTTAGAAGAGAGAAGTGAATTGTACTCAGAAAGGCATTTCTAACTCTCAACAGCAGGGGACAGGCAAACCTTGCTATTGGCAAAAAAAGTAATTTTCAATGAGCGTGTCCTTGCAAAAACAGACTTATTGTGGTACAGTGAATGCTGTGGTTTTTTTCTTCTTTCCAATCCAGTGAAAAGGCACTCTGAAAGAGGCATTAGGTAGCCGGACTCAGGCCAATTCTTATGCATGGAGAATGCTTATAAGGAAGGATGCAAACGGGCCCCCTCCGAAGGCTAGGCTTAGCTAGGAAAATAATAATCTCTGTGCATCTTTCCATACATGCTTATACGTGCAAACTTTGTTCTTATTGATAGGAAAAATCAATATGGACTTTAAAGAAAAAAGAACATTGGATGAGCAAAAAACAACAAATAAAAATAAAAATCCAAAGATAACTTATTATCTTATTATCTGAAGCCACTCTGCCTGCAGTAACTTAAACTCCATCACTTTTGAGACCCAGAGTCAAAGTAACAATCAAGTTCTCTTGAAAAGATGCAGTGAAGGAACCCCTGATTCCATCTACATTCTTTTCCTCCTTCTCTCTACTGAGGTTTCCGTTCAGGGCTTTGGACATTTGGAGCTGCTTTTAAGCTGGGTTTGTCTCTTTGAGCAAGCTGCTGCAGCTTTGGGTGATGTGATTATTGCTTGTATCCCAGCTGGACAACCAGGGACTTCCAGGGTTGTAGGCTTGGCTGGGAGGTCGAAACAGCCAAGGAAGAAGGCACTGTCACAACTTCCCTTGTGACTCAGTTTGAGAGCTGCTTTATTTATCCCAACTTTGGGATGGTTTGACTAATCAAAAGAGGGCAGAGGTATTGCTACACAAAGAAAGAATCTGCCTCCAGCTCGGCTGGCTTCCAGACAAGCATTCTTCTTTTGGGAGAGAGAAAGCCATTCCCCCCAGCCCCAAATGGTTTTGTCTCCTTCAGGAGCTGGCTGACCTGAAGCACGTCCATGCCAAGCTGAAGAAGCAGCACCAGGAGAAGATGGCAGAATTGGGCCACACGATCCGGCGGGTGGAGCAGCATGAGGGGGAAGTAAAGAAGTTGCGGTTGCGTGTAGAGGAACTCAAGAAGGAGCTGGCCCAAGCTGAGGATGAGGTGAGTCTCCTGCTGCCTCTCTGCAACTTTGACTTTAGGGAAGTCACAAGTGTAGGACAGCCTGTTGCCGTCCCGTTCTCATTCTGCTGGGGCCGCAGCAAAGCCGAGCTAGCCCATTTGGTCTGAAGGGGCCAAGATCAGCTGTGCAATTTCTCAAGCTTTCTTCCCTTGAAAAGAGGATTCTGTTTTTCTCCTTCATTCTTGGGTTGCTTGCAAATTTCTTTCAGATTTCTCTTGGTGATATTTTTTAGTTCTTTTTTGGGGGAGCGACAAGAGGGAGCAACAGCTGCTGTAGGTTTCTGTTGGGCATCATTCTGATGCCTCCCTGGTTGCCTGGCCCATGGGAGGAACGCTCTCCAGATGTTTTCCCTTGGGATTGAATGAGAAGCCAGGGAGGTTACAGTCTGCTGGAAGAAGGCTTGTGAAAATTACACCAACCTTCTCTTCTGCCTTTCTCTTTAAACAAATACTCAAGGTGTAATATTGTGTGAATGCATTTTTGTAGAACTTAATGGGGAGTGAGACTAAAACTTTATTTTACCCAGCCTTGGGGTTCTTCCAAGATTAGCAGGAGATTTCTTTTAGTTTTTTTTAACCGTACTGAACCTACTTTAGGACTGACGTTACAATTACTGCATGTTTTCCACCTGAAAATAGTAGGTGCACATGTATACAAGATAATTCTTCCTTCGGTTTTCTCCCTGTGAGGTAAGGTGGGCTGAGAGAAGATGACTGGCCTCCAGCCACTCAGAGATCTTCTCTGAATCTGATGGACTTGAATCTGGATCTCCACCACCCACATCTAACGCTTCTATTGTGACACCATGGTGGTGTTCTCAGGCAGATGTGAGATCCTGGGTGGCTTGCTCCTGTTTTACATCATCAACCTCGTTATCAACGGAGGTGTGCAAGGGTTGCTGGGTATTACAGCTTGTCTTCTCCTAAAACCAGCCCTCCCTATCCTAAATCCACCTTCCAGATGTTTGGACCTTGATTCCTAGACTTCTCTAACCAGCATGGGGTGAATTCTGGGAAGGCACCCAAGTTTGGCAAGGCAGCCTAAGTGATCTAGAATTTCAGGGATGATGTTCTCCTATTATGCTCCCAGTTCCTACTGGAGTAGCAAGCCATGTTGTGGCCGGGTCTCAAGATTGGACACCTTCTGATTCTGAGAGGATGGTGTCATTCTGGATTGGCTGTCCAAATCTGCCTTCTTTCCCAGCTTGGGAATTGCTGGCCTCCCACCCTCTCTCTTGAACGCACACTTGTAAATCCTGTAATCCTGCTTAGTGGGTTTAGTTAGGCTCATCTTGAAAGGTATTATGGCTTATTCTTAACCCTCTTGTTTTTCGCTGTTTGTTTGTTTTTCCCCTTTTTTGCCCTGCAGGAAGGCAAAATATTTGCTCTGGGCAATACTAACCAGATTTAGGAGCCAATGAAATAAAACAAAAAATAAGTCAGGATTAATTTTAACAAGCTCTGGAAGTTATTGCCAAAGGAGACCCATTAAGTTCCACCTCCAACCGCAAGGAGGAAGAAAATGCATTTTTATTCAGATGGGTAAATACCTCTTTTTTGGCCCCTGAATTGCCTTGTCGTTCCTAATACTGTATGTACCCTTGGTTGAGCTCATTTTTATTGGCTTCTATCGATTCTGTTGAAATGCTTTACCTTCCTTGTTTTTATGTTGATTGCTTACGTCTAAGTGCTGTATTACGGTATTCATATTTTATAGCTTCTTGAATCACCACTTGATATTAAGACCGGACACACATTGAGCAAATGCTGATAGATCGAATCGTCATAAATCCCATTGATTTCAAAAGGACCAACTGTCTTCTGGTTTTTAATGATTGTCATGCACCAGTTCTAGGCAGGTAGAATCAGACGGTTCAGCTTGGGATGGGAGAACACGCACCACACACGCAAAAGATCCTCTTGGCTCAATCATGGTATCCGTCCATCTCGGGAAGAGACTTCTGTGAAACCCCCTGAGTGCTGTTCCCAGACAGAAAAAAGACAAACAGGCCAGAGATCCAATTTTATATAAGACAGTTTCATCTGAACGTTATAAAAAGAGGTATAAGCATGTTGGTTTCCATTATTGGCTGTCTCAATATCTGTGCAGACATTTATTAAAGACTGCCTGGTTCGGAGTCAGCCATTTGCAGCCCAAGACCTCACTATTTCCATCCCCTTTTCTGCTGGACCTGCAAGCATAGAAGATGCAGGAAGTCCAGGTAGCCGGTCACCTGCGTTCTGTTGATGGGGCTCAGGTTGAATAAGCCTCTGGCAAGCTACAGGAACAGTTGAATGTGGATACTATCCTTCCTAGGACCACTCTTAGGAATTCTCCTCCCCAGGAGCTGAGCTGTGAAGAAAAATGCAGCATATTCCACCCTGATTCTTCTGAAATGTCTCTTCAGCAGTTCCTTCTCCTTAATTATTCTGCAGCTAGTGCATACATTACTACTGTGGCTTGTGTCACCAACTCTGGCACTTAAGCTGACAACTGATGTTTATATGTGTGGAAAAGGAAGCACTGGGGGGGGTGAGGGTGCGTCTCTCCTTTCTCCCTTTCCACCCACCTGCCCACCCACTTTTGGCAGCCTGTTGCACCCATGGTCTGTGTTTCTGCCCCTTGCAGCTTGATGACGCTCATAACCAGGCCCGGAAATTGCAGAGGTCGCTAGATGAGCAGACAGAACAGAGTGAAAATCTCCAAGTCCAGCTGGAACATCTGCAATCCAGGTAGGGAAAAGGAGAAATAAGCGAGCTCTATTTGCCATATCAACATAGGGACTGAGAATAGAAACAGGATTAGTGCAGCAGGCATGTTAAATACTTGTGACTTATTTGGAATGGGGTGTGAAATCTCATCTCTACAGAATGGATTTTGATTGTGAAGGTGGCTGCTTTATGGGTGGGCGTTCATTGCTTGAGGCCTGTAACATCAGCAAATGACACGGTGTTCATGATTCTGAATGACAGCTCTTTCTCTGACGTTTTCTCTACTGCAGCTCTGACTTCTGAAGAGGCTAGCCACTAGTCCATTGTAAAAGTGGCTTGCCTCTTCAACAAGCAACAGTAGAGACAGACTAAAAGAATTTCTTTCTAAACATCTACGGGATGCTCCCAGGTAATTGGAGGGTAGAGAAAGCAAGTGATCGATTGGCAAGCGTGAATAATGATTTGCGGTTTTGCTTTGCCAGCTCAAAATAGTTAATCAGGCTGACAAAGTAGAACTTGGCCTTGGTTAAGGTTTGCGTAGCAGAGCCTGCAATTGTCTCAGGTCGCTCACATAATCATGTATCTCTCAGAAAATCTGATGAGAGGTTTTTCTCCTTTTTTAGATCTCACAACTAGATCAGGTTTCAAGATTTAAAAAGCAGATCAAGTTTTGTTTAGAATTACTTGAACATAATTTGTGTGAACTTTTTTTTTTCATGGAAATAACTTTAGTTTCCAAATGTTCCCCTGCATTTCTACTATCCACCTTCTGTTCACCTCTAACGAAATAGACTTGGCCATAAAAAATAAATAAATACATCTGTTTCACACCTGAGACAAAAATGGGATGTGGGTATACATTGCAGGTAGCAATATCTTTTTAAAATTGCATCTGATTATCTGGGGTGGGGAATCTACTAAGATTCTTGCCCTTTATTTCATTTCCTTCTTACAGCTCATATCATGTAAATGGGGTCTCGGTAACTCTCTTTTTGCTCCTTTTCGGAGATCAGGGAAGATAGGAGATAATTGTAAACCTGGCAGGTTGGGAACGTTTGTTGCAAGTGGGTTAACAGAACCAGTTGATCAGTTTCCATCTTGGAATCATCATGGGTTAGTTTCTTGTGACCACCTCTTGTGATTCTCCAGGGCCAAAGCTCGCTCACATCTATCCACACATTTTGCTCTTCTGTAGGTGTATTCAGACACACACGTGCCTCTCATGTGGGCAACCTTTGGGTAAGAAAGTGCTTTGCTAAGGTCTTCTGATTGTCTAGGATGTGATTCTGCATTCTAGCCTACAGCCCTGAAATTTCCTGGTGGTCTCCCAGTCCATGTACTCACCAGGCTCAAAGCTGCTTCACTTTCCAAATCAGCCACAGTAAACTACACCCTGGACTTGTGGGTGGTGGGACTTGTTCCATGGGCCCGAAAAGAAGGTGTTCCTCCATGGAACAGGAGAGTTCAGCTTTCCTTCCACAGCTGGGACCGGCTTCCTCCATTTGTCCCTTTGTGCACACACATATACACAAGCATACACACACAGCAGTTAAGATGGTCTCCAGGGGGAGGCTAAGGAGAAGGTAGAGACCAGACTGAGATCCCATAAGCCACCTACTCATCTGTAGCCAAGTGTTTCTCAACCTCAGCAACTTTAAGCTGTGTGGACTTCAATTCCCAGAATTCAATTTTAAGCTGTGTGGATTCCAACTTCCAAAATTCAACTTTAAGCTGTGTGGACTTCAACTTCCAGAATTCAACTTTAAGCTGTGTGGACTCCAACTTCCAAAATTCAACTTTAAGCTGTGTGGACTTCAACTTCCAGAATTCAACTTTAAGCTGTGTGGACTC